AAAAGGAGATAAATTCACAGGATCCATCCGCAGAGATGTCTGTTCCTTTGGAGAGTAAACAAGCTCTTCCCTAAAACAGATGTAAACATAGCACAGACTAACTCTTGTGGCATACAAATATAATGAAACCATTAACCTGCTTAAAAAATACAAGAAGCAGTGGCACAGAGTTTGTATGAATGTATTTGGAAACAGCAGTGTACAAAAGTGTGATATTATACCCAGGAAAGGTACCGAAGTATTTTTTAGAATTATTGCAAACGAGAAATAAACTGCTTCCAGTCTCTCCATCCTTTACTGCCTTTGTAAACCTTGTTTCCTCCTCACCCTCACCCTTGTTGGGTCAGTTGTTCTGTTGACAACTACCTGAACTGCTGCTCTCTAGGCTGCATAATTGGGTTTGTATCTGAAGCTACAGAACTAGTGGCAAAAGACAACATTTGCGCAGAGAAACTAGGGAGTCCAAACGTGTATTTTAAACCAACAGGTTGAAAGTGTGAAGCCTGAGATACTCTGTTAAAGAGTTTTCAAGCAGGAAGTATTCACCATGTGTTTTCCCACTTGTCTTAGAAAAACAGGTATTAATAAGATAAACAGTTACACCAGAGGATGCAGAAAAGGAAATGCCTAAGAGCAGCTAAGCAGTTAGCACAGCTTAAAACCCTTAAGCACAGCAGCATTTAATTTGGAGCAATATCATCTGTTACTTGATACACATGTACATATAAATTACAAGCCAAAGGATGCAAGATCATTACCCTGAAGTTGTTATAATCTAAATATATGTGAATATGCAAATCTATGTGCAAAAAAAGTGACATACAGAGCAGAAGTTAATCAACTAAGACTTCAATTCATTACTTTATTTTTTTTTTTTACATTAAAAAAATTACAACCTAACAAGGGTTTGAAAAGCCAAGTAAACCTGATTTCACACACGCACACACTTGCTAAGTCACAGGATTCAACCGCTTGAAGTGATATTTTCTGATTTTCATCAGGATATTTTATTAAACAATATACACATTAAGAGCCTCATGACAAAGCCAGACACGTCTTTTCCCAATCTTTAAGATGTGCAACTGAATATGCAAAGATTCTTGTGGAACTTTCAACTTTCCCCTCAGTTACATGAGATGTAGTTTTGTTCATTTGACTGCAATTGCATTGGATGTGTCCACCTAGCAATTGTCCAGTGTTATACACCATCTCCCCCAAGCAAAGTGAACATATTACATAGTATTGTATGTTTTGGTTCGTGGGGCCATAGGTAATAAATGGATCCCTTAGCAATTTCACCCACCCAATGGTATAAAACCTGATGAAGCTGGAGTCAAGATGCCACAAACAATTACAAAGAAATGGAGAAGCAGGTCACTGAAAAAAGAATGTATAGCATCTGTAGTACGTAAACTTTATAATGCAAGATTCTTCAGCACGTTGAACTGCTTGAAGTGGGACAGATCACCAGTGCTACTGGCAAAGCAAAAGCGAGAACAGGACAATTTTAAGGCAAGTCCCAGAACAGGGAGCTATTTACTTTCTAGGCACAATTTCAAGCTATGTATCAAGGCTCCTGCTTTATCCTTTATATTGTCAGTAATTTATATAGAAGAGATTAACAATAATACAAAAAATAGTCTAAATATAATTTTTAAAGAACCCACTTTTAGCTGAATTTCATTACTTGCAGCTTGTATTTCATTACTTGCAGATTTATAAACATTTCTTAGCACTACTGTTGTCAGGCCCACATAAAGCAGTTCTAGATCTATATTGCTCTCATTTCTTGAAAGTAGTTTTTGTCAGAAAATGGTTAAATTCAAAATAATTCCTTCTATTACAGATCTTTCCACATTTAAGCTCTGTTGTACTTGAGAAAGAGGCAACCTCCCTCATTCCTCTGATAACTTAATGATCCCTTGAACAAAGACAACAGCTTTCCTTCTACAAAAAGTCTGTACCATAAAAAGGGGCAGAGCAAGACCTTACAAAGACAACTGTTTTCAGTTAATTAACTCCAATCTGCAGTACATACATTTTAATCTCACACAGAAGGATACAGTCACTTGGTCCCACTCATCACTGCAGAGGACTAGATACAATTCTCAAACATCTACACTCAAGTTCCTCTAGAATCAATGCATTAAGAATTGGAGATGCATATCTGAGGGCAGAATTTGGCCCACAGCTGTTAGTCAAAAGTGTTGTTTACTGAAGATTTAGAACTTACCTAAATGCCATATGAGATTAATACTGCCAAACACAAGACATGCTTTTGTGAGCCTGGGAAGACATTTGGCAGGGGTGTAACAGTGCCTCTGATGTGTTATGCTGTTGTGTGCACCAGTCCTTTGAATCACTTGCATACGAAGAATGTGTGTCTGAAGTGGGACACAAGAGTACAGCTCTGTTTATTAGGACAAACTGAAATATAAATTAAAACTGAATAAACCACTATTCCCTGAAAACTGGATTTAGAAGGCTAGGTCTCATTTGAGATCAACTTTCACCATAATGCTCCTCCTTATGATTGACAACTGCACCTAAGTATATACTTTTTATAAAAACACACAGGTAATTCCCCAAACTTTTATCAAATAAAAAGGGTTTAACAAAAATGGATAATTAATCTCATAAAATAAATTACAGTAGCATGACATTTGGCTTCTTTAGTGTGACCATGTACTTTTCCTCTTACCTTGCTGTTAAGACCATTACAGATCCAGTTCACGTCTCTGAAAGTTAATGAGATGTCTGTGACGATAAACGTATAAAACTGCTTGCTACAAGCAAATGTCTGATATCAGTTTCACCTGGTCACAGATTATATGTAGACAGCCTTCTCTGGCCCCAAATAAATATTATATAGTATTCTTGCAAGTTCCAGCATAATTAGATTCAAACAGAAAACTCAGGTCCTCCTTTCTTTGCTCTCAGTAGAAGTCGCCTGATTCGAAATCCTGCAAAAGGATTAATCCACAGGAGTGAAGGCTGACCCCCAAAAACAGATTTCATTCCTTCCCAACGTAGTCTCCGCTCCCATGTTGGCTTTTCACTCTTCAGTCTTTCAATCTCCTGTATACAAACAGACATGCAGTGACGTACTGTTAAGTCCAAAGTTTAGTAAAGTCTAACAGCAGTTATCAAAACTGATGACTATTTTACATTCTTTTAATGTATAGCTAGTGAGCCGATTAGTTTCTTACTGTTATTTATTTAGTAAGGAAGAAATAAGAATGGCCAATTTAGCCCTGTGGGTACAGGGCAGAAGACTTGGAACATAAAACGTGTACAAGAAGGTTGGTCTACCTCTTCCTCCCTCAAACTAAAAGACAAAATGACCAGAAAGGCTGACCTTACAGTAGAGGATCTGCACGCAATGTATCTGCACTAGAAGTTGTTTACTCGGTTAATGAAACCAGACAATAAGGCTTCCAAGAAGGCTCTTGTACTGCAATTACTGAAGCTAGGCTTACTCTCCCTAACACATTATTTTGATGATCATTTTTTGTACTTCCCACTAATGAAGGCTGCGTATTTATCAATTGTTTTTCACAGTTAGTCTTCAGTACAGAAGTACACTTTTAAACAGCCTCGCATGAGAAAATTCTGAACAGCCACAAGATTCAAATACCTTCTATTTCCTGTCACTTATCCATCACAAAACATCCTCTCAAGGCTTAACACTGCAGATCTAAGGGCAAGGGAGCCAAAGGTCCCAACTACACTTACACTCTAATAAAGTGTATAAAAGTAGAGGAAAGTGTGAAGTGTTGATACAAGATAGCTAGTTTAAGTGTAAACCTGAGAAAAACAGACATTTCTCATGACACAAATCAGGAGTGATAGTTGAGAAGTGAAAGTCCAAACTGAAGTCAGAAGCTGTGCAATCTTTGTAACTGAAAAACCTAATTATAAAATTCATGTCCGAAAAGCAAATAATGCAAGAACTTCTGTTAGAAAGCAAACCCCAAGAAAGTATTTCAATCCTTACAACTGTAGAAAATAAAAATGATGAGCTATTTCAGATTTGGGATTTTGTCCAAAATAAGAGCCTCCCCTCATGCAAATAAAACATCTAAACACATCTTCCCAGAATAATCATTACAGCATACAAAAGTAGAGGTCTTTACCGTTTCATCATTGCATATTGAGTGGATTTGGGTGCCAAACATGACTGCAGTGAAAGTGAGAAACAGAAAACCCTCAAGGCACAAGAAGATCATCAGGATCACAGTTACAGGTGGGGAAAAGTCACTGCATTCTGTGAAAATGACAGACATAGTTATAAAAAAAATAAATTAAAACAATCTATAGAGCATGTTCATCCCCTTTTCAACAAACAGCAATAAAAGCTTAAATATCTGACACTTGAATCGGTATTTCACAATTAAAACAAAATTCTAATTTCTAGCACTGCAGCAGCTTTATTTGCTGCCCAGAGAAATAAAGAATTTTCAGGAAGTAACACTTTTGTCTTCCTATACAGCATTTGGTACTGCATTACTGCAATCCTATCTCAGTATTTCAAGGATCACAGAATGGTTTGGGTTGGAAGGGAGCTTAAAGATCACCTAGTTCCAACCCCCCTGCCATGGGCAGGGACACCTTCCACTAGACCAGGTTGCTCAAAGCCACATCCAACCTGGCCTTGAACACTTCCAGGGATGGGGCATCCACAACTTCTCTGGGCAACCTGTTCCAGTGCCTCACCACCCTCACAGTGAAAAACTTCTTCCTTATATCTAATCTAAATCTACCCTCTTTCAGTTTAAAACTGTTACCCATCATCCTATCACTACAATCCCTGATAAAGAGTCCGTCCCCATCTTTCCTGTAGGCTCCCTTTAGGTACTGGAAGGATGCTCTAGGGTCTCCCTTCTCTTCTCCAGGCTGAACAACCCCAACTCTCTCAGCCTGTCCTCATAGGAGGGGTGCTCCAGCCCCCTGATCATCTTCATGGCCCTCCTCTGGACTCACTCCAACAGGTCCATGTCCTTCTTATGTTGGGGCCCCAGAGCTGAATGCTCAAATAAATGTTTGCATGTAAGACAATTTAAGTACTTGGAACTGCACATATGTAAAGATGAGAGCAGCTTGAAGTTTCATGCATGACAAACGCTGTAAAAACTATCACCACTGTTAGTTCTGACTTGCTAGTTATTCCAGATGTTCCATTTTGCTGTGATTGCTTTATTGTTTTTTCTTAATTCACCACACAAAGTAATCAGGTTCTGACTTACACTTAAAGTCACATCTCTGGAGATCCTCTGATCAACTGATTAACTCAATTATAGTTAGACAAAGAAGAAATGGGATAGTATACAGGAAGCAGAACGCTTCAAGTAAAAAAGGACTAAGATTCCATCCATTTAACGGAATATCAATCAAAAACCAGTCCCATGGATTCCCCTGTTGCTTCAGGTACCAGGAAGAACATATGATCAACCATCTTCTGTCAAAAGCACAAGATCAGAATGAGCTCTGGCACATTGGAATATTAAGAAATGCAAGTCAGAGGCCTAAACAAACAACTGGGACAGGTCAGGAAATTTCTTTTCTACAGGAGCCCCACAGTTGGCTCCAGTAACAGAATGAGGGAGAAATTTGTTTAAGTTTTAGCTATCGTTCACAGAATTGTGGTGGGACATAAAAAGCCCAGCTAGCAGCTCCAGGTAATAGAGCGCCGAGGTGATTGACGACCAGCTATCTGTTTCCTTCCTATTACAGAGGTAGTAAATTTTACTATGTGGAAAGGGAGTGATAATGCCCTTGACAACCACAGCTCTTACAGTGAATGACTAAAGAAAAAAAAAAAATAAAAAAAGAGAGAGATGGGTAAACAGGTATGAAATATTTTCAGGACCTCACTTTAAAAAGATCCAAGTCCTGTAATATTTCATACATGGGACTGAAATAGGTGGGATGCTATGACTTTCCCTTAGTATCTGCTAGATTATGACAGTGAAAGTTAAGTATTTGCTTACCAGTCCACTGCCCTCGGACACAGGAGAAAAACTGAAACCCACACAGTATGAGCGCATGAGCTGAAATTAGGGCTATATACATCTGGAAATAAGAGAGAGTGCTTACTTTTGACTGCTGCCAGGTAGTAAACCAGACATTCCTTTCAGCCAGCCTTCGCGATTGCACAGCGAATATACTTTCCTATTTCAATTTTTAATTCAACACAATGATGTAAAAATAAATTCTAATTAAGCTTGAATCTAAAACAATGAAAGGTCAAGGATTAGCTCCCTAAATCACAGTACCATTTCACTAATTGTTACTACATAAACCACAGCAAAATTAAGGTAGTTTAAAATAACAGCACTTTACAAGATTAAAATGAGTATGAGCAGAAATATCTTCCTGCTTGGAGAATATCTTGCATAGAAGGAAAAATGAAAAAAAAAAAAAAACCCAACACAAAACAATTGTGCCCTTAAGCCATTACTCACTACTAAGCACAACCAAAATTGTTATAATCAAGGTAGACTCACACTGAGATCAAGCTGCTGTTGATTTTCACTTACCGTAAACAGAACAAAAAATCTCTGATTTTTCTCCCCCACACAATTATTCACCCACGGGCAGTGGTGATCCATCTTTCGAATACATCGTTTGCAAATACTGAAGGAAACGAAAAGAGACTTCTGCTGAGAAACAATACTTTGCATTTTAATGTAGAAACAAGGGTATCCAGTGATCATAAGATGATGTGCTGAAATCTTTCTTGACAAACTGCAGACAGTGATTTTGTACACATTTCTTTAAAGAAACTATTTTCTTGCTCACAACTCAGCTTTTGATTGTTACAAAACTGACTGTGTACATAAAATATTCTCCACATAAGAAAAACAATATTAATATGAGAATCACTGCATATCCAAACACACAATCAGGCGAACCCGGTAACTTGTTTTAGACACTTGCGGCACTGAGTGAGCAAAGCTTCAGTTCTTTCTAGATTTATTATTAAAAAAACACCTTTTCCTTCTGGAGAAGCTTTTTTAGACAAAGTAATTATTTCAAGTTTACAGACTTCCAAGTTGTAAAATTAGTTTGTGAATCAGAAAAAAAAAAAAAAAAAAGAAATTCACGTCTTCAAGAGAGAAATTGTCACTCTTGAGGTTTCAACTAGCCACACAATTCTAAACATACGCAATCAAAATCTCAAGTAAAGAACAGCTTACAATGTCACACCTCACTTCCTCAACATAAAACAAAAATAGTGAAACTGTAAGCAGCACGCATTCTTTGCCTACTTGTTAATGAGTATTTAAACCCTACTGTTCGTTGCTAGTTCAGCAACTAAATGCTTAGTTTCTGCCCAGTTTTGAGCCAAGGTTATTTCCAAAAAGAAAAGTCAAATATTTCAATAACTTCACTCTACATCTGCTAGGCCATACAGCACCAGAGGGCTCATTTCTCTTATATTCAGGTCCATCTGCAGCCAAACATGAAGAGTTATACAAGAGAAACAGAACAGTTGCAACATGTGTTAAAGTTCTTCCATAAACCAATAGCTTCAGTAATGCTGGTATTTAATTTTCCTAGCTTTGTACTTAAGACAGCCACACACTCAAAGTGTTCCAGATTTTCCTGCAGAACATTCAAAATATTAAGCATTTTCATTTCAGCAGTTACAAAGCCAAATAAACCTAAAAAATGCAGGCACTATTATTCAAAATCCTTCGGTTTTAATGCATGCTTATTTATGCATGGTATCTATGAGTGCTGCAGTGACAAGCCACAAAGCAAAGCTAAATGATTGTCACTAAAGTGAAGAAAAGGGATGCGTGGGGGGGGGGGGAAATCAATGCTCCAAGGCACAAAATAGTTTTTAAGTCATCACATATGCATGATTATAAGGTAATTCAGCAAGAGGCAGAACATACTCCTGTGCAGGTTATATGAAAGAATCCCAAATCTCTCACTGCTTCTCTGAAGCTCCCTTTGTCCTCAGCTACCATAACCCAGGCCCTACATTCCCACTGTCTCTTGTTTTATGGACATTAAAGATGATTCATCTTCTGATGCAAATTACTTTTTAAACAGTGCCAGTTACACATGAAAATCCCGATACCATAACTAAACACCGCAACCATTCTCTAGTGCAGAATAAACAGGTATCATTCACAAGAAGGCATTCAGAAGACTCTCCAAAAAAGTTTTCATTTCACAGCCTGCTGCCTGCAAGTTCAGCCTCTCCCGAGCTCTGTGGGAAGGTGAGCTAACTCCAGTTACCACAGCCATGCAAGCCTCCTAATGTAACACAGAATATATACTGTCACTCTAAAAGGAATATTAATGTGAAGTACTGAGTAAAATCACATCCAGCCTCAATCAAGCCAAACACTGGAGGATGTGAGGTGGGCAGGACTCATTTTTGCTCATTCAGTATTTCTCACAAGCCCACGCAGAGCTCTCCAAGACATCAGATGTCTGGAACTCTGCCTTCATTTCTAATCTCACACCACGATTCAATTTCCAGCCAACAAACTCGCAGCAATGCTTAAAACAGTGGTTCTGCCTTCTTCCTAACCCTGTCACTTGTATTCTACTCCTTCCCCTGTCCAAGCACAGATGTTCATGTGGCAAGAGTTTGGCGGGGAAGTCACTCCATTAGCTGCAACCTGGGTCATCTCACTGTGCACGAACACTCATGCCTTACACAAGAGGAAGGAGCAATTCGGTAGTGAGAACAAGCAGCTGTGGACAAAGGAAGGTCTTTTCCAGCTTGGCGCTGCTGCTGAACGCACTCAGGCAACTGCAGGTGCAATTAGTTTCGAATGCCAAGGACAACATTCAGAAAGACACAGCTAATGGCTGAAGAGAAACTGGTCTGGATAACAGAAATTCCCAGGAAGACTGATGCAAACATCTCAGTGACTTGGTTGTGAATAACAGTTCCCCATACGCAAACACAAGCACAGAATATGCTAGAAATAGTGACAGCTGTGCTACTTCAGTGAAAATGAAATAGCATTCGCTCAGAATAAACCTCTTCCTTATGCTGAAAATGTTAACTGCTTAGTAAAATCTCAGTTTAATGTATTTCACTGAGGCTAGATATTTAGCTGCAAATAAAAGCTTCTTGTTCTTTTTCCCCATCACTGATGTGTATTATGAAACTATTTTTCTTCCTTAAAAGAACTTCTGCTGCAGTGTTGCACAACAATTTTCATAACTACATTATAAGAGTCTCTTCTGTTAATAATTTACTACTCAAAACATGCACTGTGGCTTTGAGTGTAAGTATTTCCCAACAGGAACCAACATCAATTTCCATTTTCAAGTCTCTTCTATTAGCAAATTGCCACTTTGACTACTTGGGACTAGACCATCCTTTTAATGTCCTTGGAATGAGTTTGTAAGCCAATAAAAAGTTGGCAGTATAATCAAACAAACCTTTTTTCTATTTGGTTTAGCACTTCTGCAGTGCTAAATCTATAGCAAAGAATCGGATTTTGGTAGCTGGTTTCCAGCCCATTTACCTGTCTATGCAGTATGTATTCAACATTCAAGAAATTACAAAAAAAATCCTTTGTTTTAACTTTTCTGAAGTAACAGCAACTACTAGTAGCACCTATTGTACAAGTAACAGAGACAAAGACAATTAAACCAGATATCCAACTGCTGAGAAAAACATGACAGCAGGCTTAAAGGATAGCGCATACACTTTCAGGCTCTTGCTTTCTTTTTCAGATGTTCCGTAAAGCCAGTTACGCGCTGTGCAAGCACGAAAACGCATCCTTTGCCCTTATGTGGAACATCTCACAGTGTATTTTACCAAGGCATAAAAAGTAAAACAATTCACAAGACATGCAAAGCTCGGTCCCTTAACCAGTGGTTAGTGAAAGCAAACTCTTCGAAGTATGACAGATTTCCTTCACTGTAGACACTACCCATTCTTGCTCTGCTTTAACAATAAATGTCACTCAAATTCTTGCTATAAACAATGTATTTGAAGTCCCTACTTAGTTTATTTTTATTCATCTTCCAGGAAGAAACAATTTTTCAATCAACACCTCCTTAACTGGGATCACAGGCTACTGCAACATCCAAGATAACACAGTGCCTGCAGAGGATGATGGCCCAGATGTACTCAAGGGACTCTGCGGGGCTTGTCTGAAACCTATATAGTTGTTAGCTGCAGGTCTAACAGATAAGCACTGCCCATACAGAGCCACACAGCTGCATGGGCTCTAGGCTGTCCAATACTCCAGCTTTTTGGCTCATATGCACAGTGCAACATAAGATGTCTTCATTCAGGGTTACTTCCAAATTAGTAAATCCTATCAGGACCGAAGATGTGGGAAATACTTTAAAGATACCTGCAAAGTCTCTGTAGGAACCAGCCTAAATCTGAGATGAGAAAATTAGCGAGATCCAACCTACACTTCGCGGAGGCTCTCAGGTGTCCCTTTACCGCATCCCATGAACACAATGCCAGGAAATCTGAACAGACTGCACAAAGCTGTTTTGGATCCCAGGAGATTAACAGCTTATATTCTGCCACAAGAAAGCAGCTGCACCGCTTCCACCCTCAGGCCCACGGAGCAACTGGTACAGCTGTGTTCATGTAACGCTCTACCAGAGGTAATAAAGCCAGCCAGAACCAAAGTCACTGCACAGGAAGGCAGGCTTGGTATCTGCATCCATGCAAAAGCTAACCTACAACACACAAACTAACTGAAGATAATTCTATACTTGACTATTTATACATGCAACTTTCCCCTTCACACTCCAGATACAAAAACCCACTCACATCTGAGAGAAGAACAAGATTTCAGTGCCAAGGCTGAGTATAATGGAAATAGCTTCTCAGCCATAACTTTCACACAGATAAGTGACATACACTGAGACATTTAACTTAGAAACCACAAATTTACATAATAATTTGAGAGTCCTGACAAGACTTCACTCTGTTCTTTTGACGGGCACTCACTCAGAGACTTATATTTAATACACCACACAATTCAATACACTTCACTCCTCATACCTAGAGAGAGCCACCAGAAACATTTACATATTTATGTAAGTCTTAATTATGCAGGCATATCTAGTTTCAATTCTCACACAATAAACATTACAAATGCATATCCACAGTGCCTGAAAACTCAAAAGATTGAGAATTAATTAAAAATGGATACATTTACTGTCTCTTCCATAGCATGTTTAGCTCAAATTATCATCACTTCTGTCCTTACTAAAATGAATCTTCAATAAGCAGACGTGCATTTAACCAATTATGCATACAACTTTGGTAAAATAATCTGTCAATTAGCATATAACTTCAAATAATGCACTACAAAGACAAGATGACACAAATTAAAATGATAGTCTAAAAACAATCTGTATTTTCTTAAGATTGTAGGAGTCATTTCTTAAATCAGCTTCTATCAGAAATTTCCTTGAGGTTCTTCCCTTTGCCCTCCATTATCAACACTATGGCACAATAATTAGAATGATGCACAGGAAAAAATATTCATAGATCAAAAAGTATTTAAGACACCACAGCATGATTACTTTTAAAAACTCTCAAGTCTCTTGCTTCTTTCCGTTCAACCACATTCATTTTTGGCCATAGTATATTATATTTATAGAATACTCTGCAATGTATGAATTTGAAAGAAGATGAAATTTGGGGGAAAAAAATTAACACATAAATATTAGGAACATTAGTCCGACTCAATATGCATAACTGCTTTAAAGAAAACTATGGCATACCTGCAATGGTGTGCACGTTCAGGTTTGATACTACAGCACTTTGGACATTTGTAGATCACTTCTCCTGGCTTCAGTTGCAAATTATCCATGTATTCTTTAGTGGCATTTCCTTTGGGTACAGCCCCCTGAAATCATTTCCATTAAAGGACAGAAAGCTTCTTAAATGGTATGACAGTGTTTAAAAATACATTTTATAGACTTCACACCAGTAATTTCAGGATAATTGCTGAAATAAGTTCATTTAGTCAAAGCTAGTCTGCCATAAGCCAGGATCATTTCCAAAAGAATAAATTACCTCTGACCTCAAATTCAGTTTCATTTCAGCAAGACTCATCTATGGCCAAGTATTAGCATAATTCTGATGGAATCTACTGTCACCAGCATACATAAAATGAAGAGGAAGACACATCTTTACATGCAGATACAAGCACTACAGGTACAATATTTGCTGAGAAGTTACACTGAACAAGCACTACTAAAAGAGACGTGCTTTCTTAGAGCAGCATATGTTAATTGTCGTGATGTTCAACTATTAGGCCAAGCCAGCCACAAAAGTTAAATTAGCAACAACTACTTGAAAGATGTTATTTCAACTCTCTGAATCCAAGATTTAGCCGCCTGCCCCATGTACACAAGTTTTTGAGAACCAACAGTCATCCTTTTTTTCCTTTATACTTAAGCTTTTAGCTTGGACACTGTCACCATGAACCGCCACTGGCTTCTTTATTCTACATCTAGTGTCCCCTGTTGCCTTCTGCTACTGTATTAGTGTAGCTACATGGTGAACAGTTGAAGGCACTGATCCAGAAGAAAAATTACCCATCAGTAAAAGAAATTATTTCTTAGTGATTAGTTCTCCGAGCTGTTCACCACAGAGCCGCATTAGCAGCTGTTTCAACACAATGAGGAAGATGATGAACAGACAGGAACAGCAGGCAGGGTTGCTTCTTCCAGCAACAATATTAATCTAGAACCTCGCAAGATTGGAATCTAACTTTGGATTAGTAAGAAGAAAATAATGGACAGTACCACTGTCACCTTGCTTATTTATAGAGTTAAAAGCTCATCTGTGACAGGAATCGGTTTTGAAATAAACTGTGATGCAAAATGGAAGTGCAATTGCCTTTCTGTACCAACTCCTCCAGGCCAGCACTTACTTCGCACAGGGATAGCCTTCTCCAGGTTGGCTTAAATTACCTGCAACATTCTATAATTATTTCTCATTCAAAAAAAGCCCACCGGCAACATCATAATTTTACACAGACACCTTAAGGAAGTTTTCAGGACAGAAACAAGAAACCAGCAGGCACTTCAGATTAATTGCAAAATACCTCTCCACTTCAGCAGAAAGTTTTTGTTGCCTACAGACCAGAATAAATTTTGTGTTTGTATTGCCTGACACAGCCCAAGCTCTGCCCCAGATGAACTCTTTGGCCAAGTGGTGCTTCAAACTTCAGCCAGCTGGCCTTTGCAGGGGTACTAACTGAAAGAGTTTCTTAAACACTCATGTTGTATTGCTGAAGTATTCTCTGCAATATAAATGTTCTCATTAAAGTTAATACTTTGGTATAAACATGGTGAATTATCTCAGAGAGAACTCCTGAAGCACAATTTTACCTTGTTCCAAGCAAATTTATGCTTATAAAACACATCTCACATTCACCTCTTCATCTGTCACTAAGGATGTTAACTTCAGGCCGTGCTTTTAGCATTTTGCTGATAAAAATATGCTCTACTTCAAAAACATTTTTCGTCATCTCAGACAGCCACCAATTCCTTTCAATTAAAAATCTATTTTTATAGTTATAAGAGGAAATTTTATTCACGTATGTTTTGAGGCAGTTTATTCCCTTTTTCCTTCAATCTTAGTTTCTATCACACAGTCATGTCTTCCATTTTGAGAGTCAGCAGGAAAGCAGTGGAGGAAAAAAGGTAGTAATTCATCTCAATTTCTATCACGTTTTATCCATAAAGAACAACATAGGTCTAGAAAGACATATAGTTTTACCAGGACATATCTTTAAGCAATCTATCCTTAAACCATTAACTTTCTTAGCTGTCACAGTCTGTAGAAGTCGTAACATTTCATCACTGGGTGGGGGCTCATAAGCAAATCAAAGACGTAGAAAACCATTAACTACAACACCCTGCTGTTTTTTTTGAACACTCCCATAACTTCTATATACACTGTTAGAGTCTCAAAAATCTGGAGAAAATAGATGTTTTTCCCGTCACCCTTCTCTCCCCAGATCTATTCCCTAAAAAGAATAATAGATTTTAGTCCAAAATAAACAAATTAATCTCTTGAACTCTTGAATTGAAAAGTCGTAAGAAATAAGTACTTTCAAGACCTCTTACGCCTATGCCGTTCCAGTGTGGGTTCAACTTAAATCTCCTTTCCCACTGACTCCAAATACCTAAACACAAAAATGCATGAATCATGTAGGACAGTAGTTCTTACTTTAGGCCAATATGTGACTGATGTTTTTCACCATGTCTACCTCTAAAAGTTCTTTCATGTGCCATAAAAGGAAGGTACATTTCAAACGACACAACAGGATGAAGCTACAACTTCTTATGAAGTTTTGAAAATATATCTGACAAAAAAAAGTAAGAAAAATTAGGACAGAAAAGACTAAAGCTTTATTAGCTTCTTCAGAACCTGGGTTAATATTTTACAAACAACTGTATTTCTCATGACCCTATCTCTCCCTTATAAATTAATTTTATACTGCTTGCTCCTCAAGTCAAAAATTATTTATGGTTTCATTAACAGAACAACAGGAAAAGTACAGATATCATCCCTTCACTTTGAGGGTTTTGAATTTAACACTACTCTTCCTAGCAGGAGAAGACTGATATAATTTCTCCAAATTTCTCTGCAGGTGATGAGCCACATGAGAGAACAATCCAACGTCAAGGAACGATCGCATACTTACTGGATCAGTTAGCATAGTTCTCAGATGCGATGACAAAGCTAGGACTGCCAAGCAGTTAAAGAGAACACCGTTGATCACAGAGTACCAAAAGTCTTTGGAAGGCAGCAACATCACAAAAGTCACTACGAAGTCTGCATAGACAACCAGAAGCCATGTCATTATAGCACAGACCATACCACAGCCATCTCGGATGAACCAAACCCTCTCTGCCATGTCGGCCTCTGAGGAAGAGGAATCGTAACTGTCATTTTCAGCAAGAAGCGGGTGGTGCTCAACATCACGGAATCTGTGCCCTGATGACTGCATGGTTTTCTGGCCTTGCCCTGCAGGAAGTAAAGATACCATTATTATGCATGAGGAAACTGGAAATATAGGTGGCTCTTGTTTTTTATTTCTGTAAGATAAAACATATCCAAGTGTAAAATAGATTACTGAGATTTTTTTTTTATCTAAACCTGAACAATTCTATGACTACATAAAGATGAAATATTTCCATAATCAAAAGATACTAATTTAAAGTTTCATCAACAATTCTGTAAGTCATTTACTGAGTTTTATAAACCCGTACTTTTATTTTTATATCACTGTATTGGGTTTGCATGGCAAGGTTTTGGTAGCGGGGGGGGACTACAGGGGTGGCTTCTGTGAGAAGCTGCTAGAAGCTTCCCCTATGTCTGACAGAGCCAATGCCAGCCAGCTCCAAGACGGACCCGCTGCTGGCCAAGGCTGAGCCCATCAGTGACGGTGGCAGCGCCTCTAGGAGAACAGATTTAAGGAGGAGGAAAAGTTGCTGTGCAACTGCAGGCAAAGAGAGGAGTGGTAACATGTGAAAGAAACAGCCCTGCAGACCCCCAGGTCAGTGAAGAAGGAGGGGCAGGAGGTGCTCCAGGCACTAGAGCAGAGATTCCCCTGCAGCCTGTGGGGAAGACCATGGTGAGGCAGGCTGTCCTCCTGCAGCCCAGGGAGGTCCACGGTGGAGCAGATCTCCACCTGCTGCCCGCAGAGGATCCCACGCCAGAGCAGGGGGATGCCCAAAGGAGGCTGTGACCCCGTGGGAAGCCTGTGCTGGAGTAGGCTCCTGACAGGACCTGCAGATCTGTGGAGAGAGGAGCCCACACTGGAGCAGTCTGTGCCCGAAGGACTGCAGCCCATGGAAGGGACCCACGCTGGAGCAGTTCATGAAGAACTGCAGCCCGTGGGAAGGACCCACATTGGAGAAGTTCATGGAGGACTGTCTCCTGTGGGAGGGACCCCATGCTGGAGCAGAGGAAGAGTGTGAGAAGTCCTCCCCTCCCGGAGAAGGAAGGAGCAGCAGAGACAAGGTGTGATGAGCTGACTGCAACCCCCATTCCCTGTCCCTCTGCAGGGGGAGAAGGTAGAGAAAATTGGGAGTAAAATTAAGCCCAGGAAGAAAGGAGGGGTGGGGGGAAGGTGTTTTAAGATTTGGTTTTTATTTCTCATAATTCTACTCTGATTTGATTGGTAATACATTAAACTAATTTCCCCAAGTCAAGTCTGTTTTGCCCATGACGGTAATTGGTGAGTGATCTCTCCCTGCCCTTATCTCGGCCCACGAGCCTTTCGTTGCATTTTCTCTCCCCTGTTCAGCTGATGGTGGGGAGAGCGATAGAGTGGCTTTGGTGGGTACCTGGCGTCCAGCCAGGGTCAACCCACCACAATCATGCAACTTCAATGCTTGACAAAGGGATTTTAGAATGGTTTCATTTCCATCTTGTTGTGCCCATAAACCATTCTTCCCGTTTTGTTAAAAATGCAACTTCTTTCTTTTATCTCAAACTAAAATGGCAAAGTCTTCATTAAATTACAGCTCATGCCTCTCAGAAAACAGCAAATTATGGCACCAGACTGTTGACTTTTCACACTGCTCCAGCAACCCAGGGAAGAGCAGAAGGAAGAAACAGAATGGAAATAAAGCCGTTCTAGTACATTGTTCACAACAAAAAACACAGCAAGTTAGAAAGCGGCTAAATTTGTTGACAAAAGTGCTATTGTGTTGAAAAAACCACAGACCTGTTACAAAGATATATTGGATAACTGACAAAATGGTCTCAGACCAGACCAAGCTTAAGGGAAATAAACAGCAGTGGTTAAATTAGCATGGCATTGGATTACACGAATCAGATTTTCAAAGAACACATTAATTAATTAAGTTCATGAAAACTCTTTTAGGGCTTTGTTGTTGTTCCAATGTGGAACAAAAACAAGACTTGAAACCTTAACAGTTTTCATGAAAACAGAATTATTTTCCAGACATCCCTAACAAGCAGAGATATGGAATGGCACAACTGAAGTACTATCAACAAACAGGAGACAAATTAAAGCTGAAACATTTCAGGAATAGCTTGCTCCTTTAAAAGTATACTGTGTTCTAAAAATTGTATTGATTCATGCTATTAAAGGCCATGTCTGAGAGAAACTTGAAAGCCTTTATATTGATTGATGACAGCCACGCAAAAGTCTCCATTTTTTACCCTTATTAATGGTAGCATACATGACTGGTAGGAAATATGGCACTTCAATTTACATCCCAAGACCTTGAATATAGGATCACTTTGTTAATCTAAAATGGTCAAAGTGACCGTTACCAGGTAAAGAGACTCACACTGAGATAGTTTTCAGATGAAGCTATGTATTTCTAAACCCTTTAAAAAACTCAGTCCCATCTACCAGGAATCAGATAAACATATTCTGCCCAGTAAATCTTTCTGATCCTTAAGCCTTAATGCTAGAACTAGGCAGGAATAATCCAAGAGACTTAAAATGAAAACAAGTATATGCAGATTGCAGTGTAGGGATCCCAGAGCAACAGTTAAAATAGCTAGCTGAGATACTCATAGGACACAGTTAAGTGTGGGCTACATTCTCTGGTTGTGAAACAGAACAAGAAGTACAGCTCTGGTGCTTGGATCTAGTGGCAGTACTGCAGAAACAGTCAGATACAGTGCATTCACATTTAGGGTAAATTCAACCAATGGCAAAAGTACTAACTTTGCCATTTTTTAAGTATTCCCCCCCACCCCTTTTCTTTTTGTTTAAAATAAGTCAATACATAAGTCATTTGGAACATTTTTTCAAACAAAATGTTTGGATTGGTTTTTTTTTCCACCAAAGGACTATTTAGAAACCCTAGTCCTTCAAGATCTCCTGCTGCACAGATGTTTTGAAGTGTCTGAGAGGAATCAATGAATCAAAAACAACCTCCCAGTTCTGAAACTTCTTATAGAACACAAATTTGGAATTCCTTCCAGTTAAGGTGCAATACCTCAGAAGAAGAAATATACAATTATTTTTCAATCAAGGCAAGTTTTCAGCTGCTCAAATCAACAAGTTACCTTAAATCAGAACAGACATCAAGATTCTGAAAAAAAAATAAAAATTCAGTATTTGTGTATGTCATGACAGATGTGAATTGTAGATCAATTCTGCAAGCAACTCCTTTAGCATACAAATGAAATGGCACAAAATTATTGCATTCATTTTGTTTAACTGTATTAAAGACAGCCAAGAAATTTTTTAGCACAACAGAAAAAAAACCCACATACCTCACAAACGTTTTGTATGTTATTCTGACATCATGTCCTTCCTTTGGGCTATCCTAGGCTATTCACATAGTCATATCTGATGTAATCTGAAAAGACATTATCAACAAACTGATTAGTAAAGCACTCTTGCTTCATCAGCAAAATAGTGTTAAGCACAAATAATATACATAGATAGTAGTACTTTGAAATACACTGCATGTACTTACAGCAAACAAGTTTCTGACCAAGAGGAAAAAAACCTTTTAGACTAAGCTATCAAAGAACAAACGAAAAAACTCTAAACAGTGTTTCAAGTAACCTTACATCTGTCCTGTTCATTGTTTTTTAAGATGAGTTGGATATGCAGGTTTTAGCATTAAAACTAATGTATCCAAAGACCTACTTCTGTTTCCTCTTTGCCACTCCTGTATGACTAAGAATATGCAAAAAATAATAATCTTACTTGATTGTCTTCAGAGCCTACAGCAAGGTTTTTATTTTTTTATTAATAACAAGTATACATGTCTATCGCTATTTTTAGATTTGTAAGATAAGATAGGAAAAATTGTTTTAACTCTAATTATTAGAGCAAGCTATGGCCAATTTAAAATAAATTTTAATAAGCTACTCATTCCAGAATCTGTATATAAAAGAAAATGACCCACAACTATGCCAAAGAGAATATACACTTAACAAGTTCTCCTTGCTAGAATTCCACCACATAGGCAAATAATTACCATACAACTTATGACATACAAATCAGTACAAGGACTGAAATGCTAGCATAAACTGTTCTAACCATGCTTAATTTGACAGTACGAACGTTCCACAATCTTGAATCACATTCCTTCCTTTTCACAAGGACATAATACTCAAATCCAACACAGATTGTTTAAAGTAAATGAGCATCAGTAGTTTTAAAAGTGTAGAAGATTTCCTTTTTCCATAATGAAAGAAGAGGAGGAAGAACTTTTTTTATTTAGAAAACCAGATACTTCAAAGCTTGAAAATTTTAGCAGTTAACTTTTGGAAATCACCACATGGCATTTGGAGCAGGACTGCAGCACAAAACCTTGAGTTAGATATCTATTTGGGGAAGAGAACAGAAGAGGTGTGGGCCTGAATTTCTGACTGGTAAAGTTAGTGATCACATGCATACTGCACAGAAAGCACTGCTGCACTGGTTTCTGACAAATTAAGTTGGGATCCCTGTTCTGCACAACAACATTGACTGCCATTGCCGTTCTCTCACTCAGTCCTACTGCTGCCAACTGTAACATCTGTCTGGCAATTAAATCCCCAATATGTGATCAAGGAAAATTTTCTTGCTTTGTTTTATATATTACGGGATAAAATGACTAGCTTGCAGTAGGAATTTCAAATTTGTGTCTGATTAAAGTTGGCTAAAGAAGTACCTAGGTTTACTTCTTCAGTTGTTTTATTTTCTAGTGTTTAAAATAAGGTTTGTGACACAGATACTTCATTCTTTTATTTGGAAGGTTAATTTAAATTAATATATTTTGACAGTAATGTAAGGATTCTGACATTTAACAGCTACAGAAAATATGAAGCCACTTACTTGTAAAGGAAAGCTTCTGAAACTAGCTTGTTCAAAAAAATACTCCAAATACAACATTACTGATGGAGTTCTTCAGTATACATTTTCAAATTTTCCCAATTCAAGGGGAATTATACCAATGCAGACTTCTCCTGAAAATGACAAGCCTCTTGTGTTATTTAAACAAACTCATATATTCTACTGCAAGCCTAAAAGGTAATGCAAATGCTTTTTATGCACATATAACTGCATGCAGCTACTGATTGCTTTCGCTTTGGCTTTATAAATAAGCTTTTATACTTTTGTTAAACAAGTTTTCACAATATTGTGAAATCCACAATCATTAAGTTGTCATTGACATGGCATTTTGTGGAAGCTAAGTACAAACACACAAAAAGAAGAGTGGTTGAGTGTATCACATTAATTTGCAATGTCACCCACCCATTCTCTGAGGTGAAGATGACAAGCAATAGAAGACAACATGCTAAGCCTCTGCAAGTGAAATATTAAAGTCAGAGTAATCATCTGAAATTGTTAACAGAGAATTTATTGACCAGACAGGGACATTATTTATTCAGTCAGTTCCCTAATTGTAGATGCAATTCTGTGCAAAATTTCAGTGTTTATTGTAGCCGCATCAGTTATTGGTTTATGTGGAAGTGCCACCATAGTTCAGCTTTTGCAAGAATAATAGATTTAGTCATTCTCATGTGATTTCCTCCTCCCCTTCCATCTCCCCTGCTCCTGTATGTCATTCTCTTCTCCAGCTGCCTACACCATTACCCCCCACCTTGGTCCCCTTCAAGGGGAAGAAGATCAATGTTTGAAAAGCACTTAAACTTTATGAAGAGCTAAGCACCCCCACTGAGATGCTCACAGCTTTCCTCTAGACTATTAATTTATTTGCTTCAATGCCTGTCCCAGCCAAATTTACATTGAGTCCTTGTTGTATACTTGAAGTACAAACCACCAGGACAAAGCATGACACTTCAACCTCTAACATGCCAAGCAACAGCTTTTACTTTGACCTTTTAAAAATCTTTATCTAGCATTGGAAGATAACACTAAATTATTCAATGTTTCATGCAAAATGTCATCTGTTTGCACAGGTGATTGTATTAAACCTAACCCAATGCAGTTCAACTCTTAGGTGTTATTTGAAATTCTCAGGTTGAGAATGTCTCATCTGACCTGCACCTCATTGTTAACGAAATGTAGGCCCAAAATGCAGATGTATTACTAGAATAAAAAAACCCAAACCAACAATTTTTGAAGATACTACATTACAAACTCATGGTCACTGCAAAGACGGTCTTGTAAAATGACTGTGCCTAAGATGTTTTTGGTTTTCCAGTGGGGCTAAAGAAGATCCACGGGAACAGCAAATCTCCTTTCTCTAAGTTTACTGGAAGAACGTAACCAAGGGCATTAGGAAGACGAATGTTACCATACAACTATTGTATCAGGAGGCCCCTGCACTGTTAATTAAATAAATAAAAAAAGGGCACTTCACGGTTAAGCACAGTCCTTTTCCCTGCTATTTTTTTTGAGGCAGAAAGGAAAAACATTGTTGTAGGGGAAAAAAAAAATCTAATTTTTCTTTTTTTTTTTTAAACAGATATACAGATAAGAATTTATATACAGGCTAAAAATCCGTCAGCTGTCAGAGCCTAAATCTTTTTTTGGTCACTTTTTCCTTCAAGCTATACAACAGAAAGTTCCTAAGATTCTTCATATTTCAGTTACAACGCAATAAAGAAAATGCCTTTAATTCAACATTTCTGACTGTGTACTGATAAGTCAATAGTTGTAGGGACACTAACAGATACTGCACAGTAGAATAAGAATCCCACAGCACTTACATACAATGGATTGAAATCCCACCTAGAAAGCACAGCATTGGTGGCAAATCAAAATCACCGAACTGTAGCCTCATTAAAAGGTTAGAGTGTAAACATTAACTTCAAAAACTGCAAAAATTTTAAGTAAACTAAATGGGCACACCTACTACTACATCCAATTCCATGGGCAATTTGGACCATTCATCGCAGACAGCTAAATATCCATCAGATAATGTCTAGACATAATCACGCCTAATTTAGGTGAATAACCTACTTTTTATTACAGATACATGCAATCCAAACTGCAAAGCCATTTAATAAGTAAACTGTGGCTCATTTCAACCTCTCGGTGACTTCACAGCAAACAAATAAAACTACTCCAATAACTACATCAACCAGTAACTGCACTGAAAACCCTTTAGCTCAGCCCCAGCAACAGCCTAACTCTGTACAAGGAGCCCTTCGCTAGGGCTTCAGGGTTGACCTTTCTCAGCAACCATAAGGTGTAAGAACGGCTACAGTAGCAAGTATTCAGAAGAACCAGGCCATCAACTACAATCCCAGTTTAGCCCTGACAGACTCAACTTTTTTATCTGTAATTACAAAGAGATAGGCCCAATTTCAAGAATCTGGGACATAGGTAACTCCGGAGAAGAGCAGCTGAAATAGCTTGTGATGGCAACCCAATGATACAACCCCCAAGTGTTATCGTCAGCTTATCCCCAATCTATCCCATACCCTCAGCGGCATAGCTCATCATCTCTCTAAATCTTTGTTGCTTTTGCTCTAACTTAATATATTTTGTACCATATTTATCCCAAGAATTTCCTGTTTATGCCTTCTAGCCCTTCTTTGTACTGACCCATACCTGCTCTACTGCAGGCATACAGTGAGACTTTACAGTGGAAACACGTAACTAATGTGATGCTGTTTATATGCAAACACCTGGCAACACATTCAAGAGACAATCTTCAGTAAGTACCTATTTAACACAGTCAAGTTTCAAGCCATTGTAATGATTCTCCTTACGCCAGTCTCTTATTATACAGCAAGTGCCAGGCCATAGGAAAACACTGGAATTGCTTCTTTTCAGCTTTGAAAAGGGGATATGCTTCTTCTAAATCATCTCAGAAAAAGGGTATATAGAAGAAGTACTTAAGCATAAGTATGGATGTCTTACTAGGAAGCTGGTCATCTAATTATTTATGTCTTTATGCCAGTGGCATCTTTATAAACATCCTCAAAACCCAGCAATGACAATGCAGAGTAAAACAAGTTATGCAAAATGAAAGAAAAAAAACTATGCGTGTCTTCAGAACACATATTTAGAAAAAGTATTGAAGAGCTTTGCTATCAGCAATAAACCCGATAGATTTGTGACACCAAGTCACTTTTCCATAGGCACAAAAATAACGTCCGAGGTGTTCAGCAAGGTATCTTTTTGATAACAGATTTTTTCCCCTACAGATGTGGAAGTCAAAGAAAACATATTTCACGAGACTTTGGTGCCCAGCAAAGATACACACTGTCTGATACACAAAGAGTTCAGAGCTACAACAGGAAGGACAGAACGCTTCTAGATTAAAGAACAACCTTACTTGAGAGAAGGACATGAACACAGTCTACGGCTGGGCTTTGTATCTTGGCGCTTTTGGAATAGGGCCACAAAGTAAAATTCAGATTAGACTCCAGAAAGCTAGATGCTTAAACCAGTATCAGTATTGTTATGTGGAAACTGGAAGTTTTACTCCTTTGCCAACGGCAACTGGATGAATCACATTCTACTTTAGAGGATACTTTTTCAATTCTAATTTTTGCATTCATCAATATATGCTATATCCTCACACTCAATTGAAGATACCTTGGGTATCACATTCACTGATTGCACTGTGATATCAGGCTGGCAAGCACATTTTTCTGTCAGTTATTATATCCATATCCACATGTGATTCTTCCTTCCAGGTTCCAAAAAGTAATGTCATAGACTGTCATGGTTTAACCCCAGCCGGCAAGTAAGCACCACGCAGCCGCTCCCTCACCTCCCTCACAGTGGGATGGGGGAGAGAATCAGAAGACTAAAAGTGAGAAAAACTTGTGGGCTGAGATAAAGACAGTTTAATAGGTAAAGCAAAAGCTGCACACGCAAGCAAAGCAAAACAAGGAATTCATTCACCACTTCCCATCGGTAGGCAGGTGTTCAGCCACCTCCAGGAAAGCAGGACTCCATCACGCGTAACGGTTAATTGGGAAGACAAATGCCATTGCTCCGAACGTCTCCCCTTTCCTTCTTCTTCCCCCAGCCTTCTATGCTGAGCATGACGTCATACGGTCTGGAATATCCCATGGGTCAGTTGGGGTCAGCTGTCCCGGCTGTGTCCCCTCCCAACCCCTTGTGCCCCCCAGTCTCCTCGCTGGTGGGGTGGGGCGAGAAGCAGAAAAGGTCTTGGCTCTGTGTAAGCACTGCTCAGCAGTAACTAAAACATCTCTATTATCAACACTGTTTTCAGCACAAATCCAAACCATAGCCCCATACGAGCTAATTAACTCTAGGCCAGCCAAAATGAGCACAGACCAAAGCTGAACTATTTTCACTAGCAATTTTTAGTATCGATTAAAGGAGTGTTAAGGCCTTTGTTTCAATGGTTCTTCACATCAGACACATATAAAGCCTCATATTTCCTCTATATTATTCATCTTCAGCCTTTCAACTGCTGTGGAATTCTATCAGTTTACTTTCCTCAAAAGTTCTATGTCTTCATAAAAGCCATAAAAAAGAAATCCATCAGATATACATGATACAAAATATACTATGTTAGAGCAAAACCAAGCAAGTTTTAGAGAGATGAAAAATATTATCAATTTCTTTTAGCCACAAAGAGCTTTCAGCTATTTAACTCTAATCTAAAACCACTAAAATTTTACATCAGTTTCATCTACTAACGAATCAGTACAGCTCTACTTTATCTGTCAATTTTCAAAGTCCGAGAGCATCCACTTCAAAAGATCCAATTTAAGTCTGTTAATGTGAACAGTCACAGCCACTTCAACCTAATTATGTCTTCAGCACAGCAAACAGTTACATCACTGTAATTCAGCATCCTGATACCATCATACAACTGTATATGTAGTACAGAAAACAGCCAATGATTTCCCAATCCTTTTTTTTCACGGCACAGATCACATACGTGCCATGCTGTACGAATCTACCCTCTCGTTTTTCAGAGTGTGAACTATTTGCGTTCCCACTTCCCACCAGCGCTGTTCTTCCCTCCTGGAAATAAGGAAAACGAGCACCACATAAATCAGCAGAACTCCCTAGAGCAAGTGCCAGGGCACTACCGAAAAGCACCGTGTGTCGAATGGTTGCCGTTCCCTCCCCTTTCAGCTTCCCACGGCGGCACCTGAGACTCTACAACACAACGGTGCTAGGGCACAGGGACACTTCCACGCACTTGTTTCCACGGCTGACTTCCGTCTTTTTTTTTTAAATAACCCGAAAAGAGGCAGGAGCACAGCCAAACCCTAGAAAAGACCCCGTTAAGAACTGGCACCAAACACCAGCGGGGACGGAGACCAGCCCCTCCGCCCGACCTGCCCCAAAAGAGGAGCCTGAGGCGAGAGCCGGGAGAACAGGGCAGGCCCACGGCGGCCAGCCCTGAGGAGAGCGGGGAGGGGTGGGGGGGGAACCGGCTCGTTGAGGAGAAGGTGGCCCGGGGAAGGAACGGGAACGGATTTACCTCAGCGGCGGCGGCCCCGCTGCCCTCAGAGCTGCGGCTGGCGCCGTACCGGCGGCGCGGTGGGGCGAGCCGGGG